AGTTATTTTCACAGCTTTGTCCGTTTAAGTCTAAAAAGTATTAATGTTATTATCTATTTTCTACCTCTTTTAATCAACGTTAAGTCTAAAAAATTATTAAGTCGCCCTCTGGCAAGTATGTATGGAATTATGTGTTCGTGTCTATTCGAACTCATTGCAAATATATTAAGATAGTTTATATAACATCCATTAAATACCACTTTCAATATATTTATAAATAAAAAGTAGTTACATAAAATTTCTGGTGTGTTCAAATTTAAATAATTTTTTGTGGGCTCAATTTTAAATCATCCAGACATTTGATCAAACGCATAGGTGTGTTCAAATCTAAATTATTGGCATTGTGGTTGGATGAAATTTAAATCATCTACCATGGTACTGTGATGTGTATTATATATATACAATTTTTTAACAAATAATATGTGCTTTATAAAAATAATAATAATAATTTCACAATATTTTAAACGTAAAATTTGGTTTTTAATCACAATAGAAAAATCATGGTAAGTTGTATTGAAAATGTGTTATGAGATAAAACAATTAACTAAAATAATTAAATAAAATACTTGATGGAAATAGAATGCATTAATTACCTTTGACTTTTCTTATAAAATAATTAGTAATTACTAATAATTCTAGTAAATAGAATGCTTTTTTATATAAGTATAGATATTGACTTTTTTTTGTTATTTATGATAATCCAATCAGCCATATATACAAATATTTTATTAGTACAGATTTTTGTCCCATATGTATTAGTTATTTAATTAATTGTACCTACTAACTTAAATAAAGGTGTTTAATAATTGTCCTATCGACCACCTCCCCCTGTGGGGTTGGGTCCTTGGCTCGAACATAATAATATTAGGGTGTCTTACTTTCGTCGAGTACTAGCTGCTTTTGTTCTCAATTTATTTGAAATTTAAAAAAATAAAATAAAATAAAATCCAATTTAGAGAGTTTGGGTTTGAAGTGCAAGTCAAGTAGGGAAAATTAATACCTGAAAATTACATGCATTGATTAGCTAGGCTGTATGTATGTAGTTCAAATGTGGATGACATTTGTCCATATAATTTGTTCGGTTTTGCTATGAAGACAAAGTTGGCTCCATAATGGAGCCTACCTTCTATATACAATAAATAAACTACCATAAAAATAAAATTATATTAATGTTACTTAAGTAACGTGAGAATATGGTAGGTTTGCTTGTTGTATATAGAAGGTTGGCTCCACTATGAAACCAACTGTTGGCTTCATAGCAAAACCGATAATTTGTTAAGTTAAGAATATCTATTGAATTTGGTGGAGTTGTAAATGCCATGATCATGAAGGAAGGACCCTTAATTAGTTCCATTTGATATGAGGTAGTTGAATCTTGCATGAATAGATATGGGTTGTCATTGTAATTTACTTTCGAAGAAAAAAAAGGAGTAGCTGTATTCTAGTAAAAATATCATCATAAACATTATTTAAATAAAAAAAAGGCTTGATTTTTTTTTTTTTTAAATAAAAAAAAAAATAGTCTCCTGTCCCTTCACCTATAAGCCAAGATTAAAAAAAAAAAAATGCAAAGTTATCAACCCAACTAAATCCATTAATTACCCTTTAATTAATGGATGTGTTGGTTGTATTGCTAGTGTTATTTAATTAGTATTTATTATTTGATATTTCTATATTTTATTTTGTATTGTAAGACGTTCGCGTGTTTGATTTATATAATATTAATAAACGAGACTATTTTAATTTTTACTTTAATTTATATTTCACAAATGTATGATTTTACGGGTTAAAAAAAAACAAATTTGGGATGGGGCAAGGCAGGGTAAGTTGGCTTGCCTCGGAAGGGGCCAAGTTGTGTGGGCCTAATAATCTGCTGGACCCGTCGTGGTCACGGCCAGGGCCGGTCCATGGGGCAGGTGCACGGGCCAGGTTCGGGTTCGTAACTACCCGGCCCGATTTGACTCAATGTCATCTTTAATGAAATTGTCGTAAAATAATATTTCTAAATGCATAATTACGACACTATAAAAAAGTGTTGCGCATTATAAACACATAAATTTTTTGTCATTAAAATCCGTTACAACAACCCATGTACGTAATAAAGAGACATTAAAATTTACAACACACATGTACTGCGTCACCAAAATTTATAATGATGACTCATTAGAAAAGCATTGAACATGATTATTACATAGTAATACATACGCGAATGTCTTGCGTCACAAAATTTTACAATAGTGACGTATTTATAAAAGCGTCACACATGAAAAAAATTACCTATGCTAAAATCTTGCGTGGCAGATAATTTCATGATATCAAATTTAACAACGCAATTCGCGATGTTTTCAGTAGCGTAGGTAAAATTTTTGTGTCACTGAAAACGTCATTATACAAAAAAATAAGTGTCGTCAAACGCCTTATTTCTTGTGGCGACCAACATTAAAAGAAAAAAAAAACATTTTTTAATATACTTAGTAGATTGACTTGACATTTTTAATATATCTAAATGTTTAATAAATTGATTTTATGATATCCAAAAAACATAATAAAATAAAATACTTTGGCAACCATGATTTTGTTTTTCAATTTTAATGTGAGATAATATCACAATTTCTGGCTCTGTAGTAATCAAGATGGTGGATAGACAATAAAAAGATGTAGGAATTTCTGTGTTGGTTGTATTGTAAATATCTTGAGCGGAACCAATTTCGTATTTTTATTTTTAAGGACATAAAATTCTCTATACATTTTTTTTTTTCTTTTTGCAAAAATGGGCTTCATAGTCCTCATCAAGACCATCAAGTTCTAACAGAACGAACAAAAGATCTGTTGGTATGACTCATATATTGACAAAGGAAGAGGGCAGACTGATGCCTGCAAGCGTAACGGAGCGAACGTAGCGAGGGAAGCGTAGCGACCGAGCGAAGTGAGCCCCCGCGGTACGGTACAGGGTATTTAAGTAAATTTATACCTTGTAGGGTTTTAGTATAAATACATGGTGTATTGATGTATTTGATACGATTGAGAATAATAAAAGATCCCTCAGCCGCCGTGGACGTAGGCACATTGCCGAACCACGTAAATCTTGTGTTGTTTACTTTTCTCGTTTTTTAATTCGTGTGCCATATTGTCATCTTCACTCAACAAGATCCGACCACATTATCATGGTTTTTGACTCCACCGCCCACTTGCCGTGAGCAATCTGATTATCAATCCTTTTGGTATGCTGGCAGAGTCCACATTCTAAGGAATCCAAGAGTGTCATGATATTCGAGAAATGTCTTCAAATGGGTGATGCGAAACATTCGGGATCAGTCCTTGCACTACTTCAAGGCAATCTGTGGTGACTTGTTGGATCTTCACTCCAATCGTAGAAGCGAACCGTAACCCAAATCGTATAGACAAAGTCTCAACCAGAGTTGAAGAGTATGAACCTAACATATGGGATGTAAAAATTGCGACTATCAGACCTTCTGAATTATTATCCAACCTCCCAAACCAATTTCAAAGTCTCGTACAAATGCATCACATTGAAGATCACAACCATTCTCATTGACTTTTCTTCCTTTCCAAGCCTAGTGGTCCTTTACGAAGCATCCAACAGAATTGAAAATAGTGCAACTTGGGCCTTGTCGTAGTCCTCGTCTTCCACCCATCTGAAGCCTTTATCGATCATCAAGTCAATATCACTCAAACGACCACCATTCAAAAATATATTTCATCCTGCTAAACGAGCCACAACATAAACATAATAAAAAACCCTGAAGTTTGACTTCTTGCAGCCCTCCGATATGCTCACAAGACTCAACCGTGGACGTTGCCCCGACCATTTTGAGATCTCACCCAATCAACCACACCTTCTCCATAGCTTCTTCACTCACCAACAATCAAAGAGAACGTGGTTATTTGATTCTCAGCACCCACATCTAAGACAATTAACATCTAAATTAATATGTTTTCAATGGAAGTTTTCCCCTGAAGGGAGCGCCCGATGTGATAAACGCCATATGTATATTTATTTTGGTCAGTAGATGTAATTAGCAACGCATTATATATACAATTTTTTTTAACAAATTATCAACAAAACACTAACAATATATAGCAACGGAAAATAATATCTTTGTATTCTGTTGGCATCTAGTGACAGAAGTATTTCGTTAGTAAACACAAACAAAATACGAACAAAATAGCAACAGACTCTTTCAATATGGTATTAGCAACGAATTATTTCGTTTGTAAATAGCAACGAATTTATTCCGTTCGCAGATAGCAATGAAAACTTTCAAACTTGTCATAGAAACGGAATAGCAACGGATTATTTCGTTGTTAAAACGGATTATTCATTGGTAAATAGCAACGGATTATTTCGTTGTTAAAATTTTTCTATGAATTCTATAATTATTTGAAGCTTGGCATTAAATCGACAAACTCTTGTGAAGCGTGGAACCTTTATCATATAATGACCGCAAGTCGCGCTTATTCTATTACTTCTGCCCGCAGTACACCAACGTCGGTCTGTCTTATTCCATATGGTTTCCTTTGCCTGAAGAATACCACCGAGCTAGTTCCTGAGATTGATCCACCGACCTGGGATCAATATTAAGAAAGGTTTTAAATAGCGGGCTAAAACGTTTATGGCACTGTAGCTATAGCGGAGATTTAGCGGCTAAATTGCACATGAATACAAATTGCGGCACGCTGCCAAAAAAAACTATTTCTCAAATAGCGGCAACTTTAGCGAGCTATTTATTTCCTTGCATTAAGTACTCAATGCATTATTCTCTCATTGAGTCTAGCTCGGATATCAACATAGACATGGGATCGGTATTATGTACTTGGTGCAGATTCCTCTCATTTCATCTTTTAGCTCGGATATCAACACATTAAAATTTAAAAACGTATATATATATTTTTCAAATTATTGATAACACATCAAAGGGATTGGTTCAACAAAGCTGAAGTGTAATTGAATATTGCCAACACAATCCAGTTGATTGGAACTACAAAAGGGATTGCAGGCTGTGAACAAAATCATCAACATAAGAATCCTCAAAGCCTTGCCTCAACATTAAATCCCTCAGTTTAGCACGATTCGCCTTAATCTCTCTCCCAATCTCACTCTCATCTATCATGACCAACTTGATTGCCGTGGCCACGCCATCCCTCGTAAACAACCCATCCTCTTCTCCTTTCTCGACCTCCACAGCAACCCTCAAATCCTCAGCCATCAATCTTGCATTAATAAGTTGGTCGCCCACATGCGGCATTAGCACCAATTGGCACTCATTCACCATAGCCTCCGACAGCGAACCCCACCCACAATGCGTCACGAAACATCCTACGCAAGGATGACTTAAAATCAACTGCTGTTGAACCCAACCGCCATACACGACCCCTCTTTCCTTATTCCTCTCCATAAAACCATTAGGCAGAGCCTCTTCGACTGTCTCCGCCCCAATCGGCGGCTTTAGAGCTGCGAAAAATGGGATGCCCGTAACCTCTAAGCCCAATACCAGTTCATGGAACTGGTCTGCCCTGAGTCGGGCCTCGCTGCCAAAGGCACAGAAGATAACGGACTTGGGCTTGAATCGGCTTAGCCAAGTAGCCCATGTCTCGTCTAGTGCTGAGGTGGGTGGCTCGGGCAGAACCGGACCGGCTAGGAGAACTGGCTTTTTCAACTTTTTTCGGACAAACTCCGCGTACGAGCCTTCCATTTCTCGGCAGGACTTGAATCCTATTGCATCCGACTCGTTAGCAGCCATGATCATCCGCTCTACAAACTTCATGTCGCTTCCAAATTCTTTTTCGTTGTTGATTTTTTCGACCATTCTGGCTTCATGTTTGTAAAGCTTTATTTTGGGTGATGGGAAATCTGGCGGAGGCTCCACGAAAGCTTTGGCCTCGGAATCATTCCGAAAAAGATACCTAATATCAATGACAACGTAACTTTTGTAATTGAATGTATATATATGATAATATAGCTAGTGCTAGGCAACGAGAATTGTATTTATAAAGAAATCAAATTAAACGATATACCCGACAGAAGCAGGGCTTATAATGCAGTAAAGAACAGATTTGATGTTCAATCGTCGAGCTAGAGCAGGCAACCATTGCGTGAAATCGAAGAACACGAAATGGGGTTTCAGTTTTTGTAGGATGGTTTTGATGTCGGGTTGAGTGAGGTCCATGGCGTGTCTGAGAAGCGTAAACATGGGAAACGGCACGTCCGAGGTCGTCTCGGTGCCATCGGGAAGGCCTTGGACGTTCGGGATTGTTATCGGTACGAATTTGATGAGGTCCGGATGAAGATTGAATTGGTTTAATTTGAACTGTGTTTTGGTAGGGAGGATGAAGAAGATTTGGTGGCCTCTTTCTGCTAATTTGTTGGATAAGTGAAGGAATGTGGTGAGATGGCCCATGGCCAGCCATGGGTACATCACCACTTTCAGCTTTGTTTCTTCAGCCATAATCTTTTACTAAGTTTGAGCAATGTTGGTTTGGTCTGGTGCAATTTCTTTGAGAAAATTATATATATATATATAGTGAGTGAGGTCTAAGATTATTCATGTTGGAGGACTTGAATGAATTATTTCTAAGTTCTAACTCAACTAGAAAGCAGGATCTTCATGAATTCACCGTGTCTCACGTTTGAACCTAACACCAACCAAATTGCATTTGACATATCCAACCTCTAATATAATGAGGAAATAGGAGCACAGTTTTGGGGTTGACACGTGGCTCATGTTGTCAACTTTTGAAAAAATGCTACAATCCCATTACGAAACTATTCCGTCGGGTTTTGTAACCGTTATATCATCATGTAACGTCATGAATAGTTGATCTAACAGTTACAAACCCCGACAAAATGGTTCCGTAATGGACCGTAAAATCTCCCCAACTTTTGTTTGCATTTTTTTTTTTTTTTTTTGGTACAGGGACCTTCCGGTTTCCGGATTCACAGGGGAACCGACTAATCCGGAATCGAGTCGGGTAGGACCACAAGGGCGGCAAAGCTCTCCCTCAAGAGTTTTAACACTGCTGCATTCCCAGGGCTCGAACACGAGACCACTGGTTAAGCTGGAAAAGACCCAAGCCATCTCATTCAAACGTTCTTGGGTAGTTTGCATTTTTTTTTAATTGATGACTCGCCCTCACATTCTACGTAGAATCGTATTGAGCATTTAATAGTAATATTTAGGGAAGTTCTTTTTCCTTTTTTTTTTCGAAATATAAAGCGTAAAATTAAACTCAAACTCAGTACACGACTATAACAAGAAATTGTCAAAATGCCAACAATAATTACCAACAGAAATTTTTTCGTTGGGAATACCAACAGATTAACAATGCATTATACGTACAATTTTTTTAAGCGAATTACCAACAAAATACTAACAAAATATAGCAACGAAAAATGACATCTTTGTATTCTGTTGGCAAATAGTGACGAAAATATTTTGTTAGTAAACACAAACAAAATACCAACAGACTCTTTCAAAATTGTCTTAGCAACAAAAAAATCCATTGTTAAATAGCAACGAAATTATTTTGTTAGTAAATAGCAACGGAATAGCAGCACACTTTTAATCCGTTGATAATTAGCAACTGATTTATTCCGTTGACAAATAGCAATGAACACTTTCAAAATTGTATTAGCAACAAATTATTCCGTTGGTAAGTAGCAACAAACACTTTTTAAATTGTCTTACCAACAAACTATTACGTAGGTGAATAGCAACGATTTATTCAATTGGTAAATAGCAATGGGTTAACAATATTGTAACAGACACTTTCAATATTGTATTAGCAAAATATTATTCCCTAGGAAATAGCAATTAATTTATTCTGTTTGTATATAGCAACAGACATTTTCAATATTGTATTTGCAACAGATTATTCAGTTGGTAAACAACAATGGATTTATTGAGTTGGTAAATAGCAACGGAATAGCAATGAGCACTTTCAATATTGTATTAGCAACAAATTATTCTGTTGGTAAATAGCAACAGGATAACAACACACATTTTAATATTGTATTTGCAACGGATTATTCTATTGGTAATTAGCAAAGAATTTATCTCGTTGGCAAATAGCAACAGGCACTTTCAAAATTGTCTTAGCAACGGATTTTTCCGTTGGTGAATGGCAATGGTAGCAACAAAATAGCAACGGACGCTTTGAAAATTGTCTTAGCAATAAATTGTTCTGTTGGTAAATACAACCAATTTATTGTGTTAGCAAATAACAACAGAATAGCAATAGACACTTTCAATATTGTATTAGCAACAAATTACTCTTTTTGTAAATAACAAAGGATTTTTTATGTTGACAAAAAGCAACGATGGATTTATTATCTTATTTCTATGATGTGCATGTTATCTCACTTTTTAAATTTTTTGCTTTGTCCATATTAGTTCACTTAGTTCTTTATTATAAATTATTATTATTGGTCCTTATTTATTTTTTTCAACTTCAACAAAGTATATAACCACGCATTACTTTTTTCTTTTATCTTTTGTTATACATTTAATATTTCATCAACCACCTGTGTAGTACACGTGTATTGTACTAGTAAATTATTACACTAGACATTATAGTCAAGAAGAATTCGACACCACCAAATATAGAATCTATTTTCATTTCATCTCACATTGTCTTTTTATTTTATCAAATCAACAATGTAATGCAATTTTTTTCTATGAATTCTGAAATTATTTGATTCTTGGCATTAAAAATCATTATTGTATCCCCGAGATCGACCTCACTAGCATGATTATGTGGAGGTTGTTCTACCGGCCGACCTAATAATGTTCCCATACTGACCAAGCTAAAGGCTCTTACCAACCCTCCATGACAAGTTCTTACAAGAAAACCACCACATCACTCAGCCGAGCATACGACCCCTTACCTCTCCATTAACTGTAGACTTAGGATCAGTGTTGAGTACATCCATGCCGAGCTTCGAGATATCCCACCAAGGTGACCCAATGACGAGCAAACATAAACAAATGACCT